TTAGAAATTTAAATAGGAAGAAAAACCTTTTTTTGTGAACTTCTGAATGAACCAATCTTAACACAAATCTTTTGCTGAAAAACACAGTGATGAGATACCAAAGCAAGTACTCTGAATTATGTACAAATCACAAAATCACTTTCAGTTATCAAGTTACAAAGAATGTCAGAGGACACACTGGGATATTTTTGTGTAAGTTAAATTTAAAGTAAAATTAAGGCACATATGAAACTGACCTTTATGAAGAGTAAAACATTAAAGGGTAATTATTTGACTGCAAAAGTCCTAGATTTACTAATATTTATATTTCAAAGTGCTTTATTAGGTGTCTATGCTAATATTGTTATATTAGATAAAATACTCATAGGATCTTTAATATCTACAGTATAATGTTTCAAAATGAGGAATCAACAAAAATTCTGGTCGCAATTCTTCATTTGCTCAAAGCACCCAAGATACTTTTTACAATCCTGCTATAAAATGAAGTTGCTAAAATAATAACTTTTGAAACTCTAGTAAATTAACTTACAGAATATCAAGGAGGAATATTAGTATAAGGAACCAAGATATTCTACTTATAAAATGTTAGCATTAGAAACATATTTTTGCAGTGAGAAAGTTTATGTTACATCTACATCATTATAAGGATCCTGTCTCTCTCTTAAGAAACCACAAGATTGGTTAGTATAACCTCAGGGACACTAAATTACATATAATCTTAAAAAATGGTCTTGGAACTCCATGGTATAGTACAATCTCTCCCCACTCTCATGTTCATCCATATTTCATAAAGCCATCATCTAAAAAGCATTTTATCTGTTAATGGTATAAAATATTTTTATATCTGGAAGGATCTTTAGAGATCTTCTACTCCCACTTGATTTTACAAAGGCAGAAACCATATGAAAAATTCAAGTTTAAACAATTAGCTAGTAAATGAGGGGGTAAAGAAAGACACCACTTCCTCATTTCCTCTATAGGAATCTGTCCTGTGTCACACTCCTGAAAGATCAGATCGCTGAGCTAAAGGGGAGATGCTTCATGGAATCCGGGTGCTTTGGGCTCTACCCTTTGGCTGTGGGAGAGCCGTGGTTTAAGCAATCTGACTTCCGAGCAGCAAGAGTTTCAGTTCATGTAAATGACAGACACTTTGAGCTGGAAGCAGACTCAGGCTGAATCTCTGTTGTTCTACCAGCAAATTGGTCCACCCCTCAATGAACCAAAGAGTGGTGACAACATCTCCAACACCCAGGTGATCTCTAGACATTCTTAAAAGTAGTCACATGTATTCACCATCCCAGGCAAACATTCCCTGAAAGAAGGATTTCACCATAATGAAAGTCACTCACACATTGTTAGCAAAACACTCATTGAAATTGAGAGATTAGGGAAACAGTGGTCTCCTGTAATTGACAGTCATGAAGGTGCTAGAAATATCTGTTTCTAGTGCCACTTTCTCAGAGCGGAAATATTGACTCATTGGCTGTGTCCCCACCAAAGGGACAATGCACTCCATATATCATTTGGGAATTGTATCTTATGGGCAATGGTGAGAAAATAGCTTTAGAATTGAGAAATATTAAATATATTAAAATGCATTATTTACAGAAGAGTTTCCCCCCAAAATGAATAGACACTTCAGGAAAATAAAAATAGAATTTTTTTTAAACACATAATGTTACCATCATATGGGGAACCATAGCGGATGTCAAGTATTTCTGAGAATCCACTATACTGCTGGCCTGTAGAAAAGAAATTGAAAATGTATATGCAGAAATCTCAGTGCCCACGGTCTCCTGAACAGAAGTTTGCTATGCTAATAATTTTGAGCACCTCTTGTAACTGTAGAGGTCAAAGGTGACTTGTATTAATTCCATGATCTCTCAATAGAGTTAGTATTTTTTCCCGAAGTGTAATATGTATACATTTTTGCCCACATACCTCACACACACATACACGCTGAGTTGAGGCTGATCATCACACTGGTCCTTAAATCTTGAGAGATATGAGATATGAGTGAAACCTTCATTCTGTATAACTCCAAGGTACTAGTGAGTACAGATCACAGGAAAAGGAAACGAAGTCATCTTAGTTCAGCACAAACCGCTTCTCATTGTGAATTCCTTGGGGCAGTTCCCTATGTGTGCTGTACCTATGGCAGACACAGGCAATGTTTACACTTCCCTAGGTTTATTCTCATGGAAGTAGCCAGAAAATGTCAAGACATTATAGAGCTGAAAATGCTTTTTGTTCAGGGAAGACTCCTGGAAATTCAGAGGGATGAAGAACCTCATCAGTATTTTGAAGCAAACCTTATAGTACATGTATTCTGGAGGAAAATCCATGGTCCAGGAAGCAGGAGTCCGTGCCAAGAGGGCTGCACAGAGAGAGAAGCCCTGAGCGTCTGACCTGCAGGTCTCTCAGACTCTGCTCCTCCAGGCCCCATGGTTACCCACAATCCACCACGCCGCTTCTGTCAAATAAAACCTTACCATGGAAACTTGCTCTTTACTTCTTCAAATCCACATTTTTACAAATGCGTCCTGGGTGGGTTGAGGCAACCATCAGTTCTTTGGGAACAGCAGGGTCACCAGCACCATCAGCTCTGGAGGAGCAGAAGCTGAAAGAACCGCACCGCAGATACTCAGGCTTCTCCCACTTACTCTGATCCTCGGTTCACACGTTCCTTTTAGAAGGGTTTTCACTGTAAAAGATAAATCTTGAAGGCACATTTGGCTGAAAAGAAAGTTTTGCATTGTTTTTCTTTTTTTTATGAGAAAGTGTAAGTTTCCTTTGATTTCCTTGATTCAGTTGGCTGCTAAATAAAAACATTTATCTCATTCCAATTTGTTAATAATGACTCAGCAGTGCACATATCAGTCTTGACCTCTTCATACTGACTGTGTGTCTAATCTCCAGTAAAGACCTATGTAGAGAACTGTGCATGGCTGAGCCCTTCAGATAAAGAAAGAGGATTTCAGTAGTTCGGGAACTGCCGCCAGATGGCAGCACAGTCAACCAGTGCGGATAAAGGTAGAGTTCATTGGTTTTCTTTTTGGAAACAGAAACACAATGGAGGACCTTGTGATTGTCCTGCAGGCACTTGTGACGCTGAGCTGTATCCCCTGGACTCGTTTTAGCAAATTCTGTCTGTATAGGAAGCTATGACCCCAAGCTGAGACCTTTCTTACTGCGTGTTTAGGAAACAGGAGAAGCCACCATAACTGCTAAGTGACAAACTGCTTTAATCATAAGTAAAAAACAGATGGACCTGATAACAGGAAAAACTCTGCTGGCTAGAGACTTCTACATAAGAATGACCCTAATCGGGAAGAAAAATTGAGATGGACACCCATGCGATATTGGAATTCACGTGGCTGTGGCTGAGGGCTGAGGATTTGGACCTGAAGAGTGTATCAGCAGGTTCCCTTACACACCCAGGGAGGAGACTAGTTTTATGTAGGCTTCTCTATTAGTGTAGGAGAAGTGAATCCCATAGCATAAGGACCTGGCACCTTGCACCATTCCCTGCCATTCCTCTCTGCATGAGGACAGTCCAGGAGAAAGGGAGAAGCAGAACCTGCCCACTGGTCCAGACAGGAAGGGGCTCTCTCAGCAGGGTGCTGATGGTACCTGGCAGGTTCCATCCGTTTTCCGTGGTGGGAGCAAGGAGCTGGAAAAGGTCCTCAGCTCCTTATGGACCTTCCTGTAAACATGAGCCAGAAGCAAAGCCAAGAGCTTAGATAAACAATCAGCCAAGCAACCCCCACACGCTGCAGACACCCACTGCAGACTTTCAACTGTGTCCTTAGGTGCTGCGGGATGCACCTTGCCTGCCAGACCTCTCCTGGACACACACACACTTGCCCCTGAGCTTGGGCCGCCTCTGTCCTTGGGCACTGACCTTCCAGGAAAGCGTTTGGTGTGTTTTGGTTAGGAATTAGAAACTAATATATAGCTATTAAAATAAGGAAATATATAGATGACTTAAAAAGCTTAGGATGTTTTGCCAGCTGACTGCAGCTCCATATATTGTTTTTGTCTTATTTGTCACTGTGTACGTCTGCTGTGTGTAACATGATGCTGTGACATCTGTGCACACGGTGAATACGAGCAGCTGGATGACGAGAAGCACACGGCAAGATGGAGGGTAAAGCAGGAGCCCCATGCCCTCTTCTGGAGCCCAAATCTAGGTGCCTCTCTCTGTTCAGCAGTCCTGAGGCAGCACTTACTCAGCTTTTAAAGGAAGCTGGCAAGATTTCTGTCTTGAAATCCTCTCTAAAGGTGGGTTTCCATTTGCTATTCAGATGTCTCTCCTTTAAATAATGCTTAGTATTTTTATCACAATCTTTTACACGTGGCTTCCTGACTTCTTAGAAAACCGCATGCATTATTTTCTGTGATTATAAAATGGTACAAATATTAAAATATATAAAATGGAAAATTTTAAAATTAATAATTGATTACCCTATGTTTTGTTATTCTGTGTCAAAAATTAAAAAGCTTAGATATTTGGGAACAAGTCCAGAGATCTAATATGCTAAAGAGTTTATGAAAGAGAGAAGAGGTATTCTGTGCTGCTTGGCCCAGGAGAGAAAACCAGTCACACATTGGGAATGGGAGGGATGTTTTCACACCAACAACTAAATCAAGTAAGCTACAGTGATGGCTTCAGTGAACTTTGCTTTCCACTGATCCAGTGATTTCTCCTTTAGACTAAATGACACGCATACACTTGGGGATGCATAGTTACTGCACCTCACACTGCCTTCCTAATCCTCTGGACCCAGTGCCTTTAAATAGGTGCTGACCTCCGAGGCCCAGCACAGATGCAGTGAGGAAGGGCAGCGGTTATTATGGTGAGTTTCCCTTTCAATAGACTCCTATGCTTTATCAGGCTGAATGGCTACCTTAGCAATATTAACGTATCAGAATTGGTTGATTTAAAAGGAGGCTCAGAGTGAGACTGCCAGCCAGAACACAGAGCAGTGTGACAGGACTCACACCCACGCCATTCACTAGGAAACTTCTGTTTCCTGCTTCTGAGCAACCTCAGCAGAGCTCAGCTATTTTCCCATCCCCCACCCCACCAGTCTCACATCACAGCTCAGAGCAGTGAATTTGAAGAAGATAAAATTTACTTCTGGGTGATAAAGGCAAGCATGTCTCTCTCTGGGGTGCTGAAGCTGCTCATGGTCTCCACATGGCTGGGTATGAAGCTGCAGTGGAACTGGGCCTCCTCGTGACTTCAGGATGGGAGCACAGGAAGAGTCTTACAGGGAATTTGGGAAAAGCCATGACAGTGTGTACACAGGGAAGGTTGTCCCACTCAGCACATGCTAAACTCTCTGATTCTTTTATTCCTCCAGGATCCAGTATTGCCCAGAAGGTAACTCAAGCCCAGCCGCCAGTGTCAGTGGAGGAGATGGAGACTGTGATCCTGCGATGCACCTATGACACCAGTGTTACAAGTTACAGTCTCTTCTGGTACAAGCAGCCCAGCAGTGGGGAGATGGTCTTACTCCTTCGCCAGAACTCTTACGACACACAGAATGCAACAGCAGGTCACTACTCCTCTCATTTCCAGAAAGCTCACAAGTCCATCCACCTTATCATCTCGGCTTCACAGCCAGAAGACTCAGCAGTGTATTTCTGTGCACTGAGTGATCCACAGTGTAAAGATTGTTTGGGGGAGGAGTACAAAAACCCCCAGGCCTGACTGAGACAGCCACCTGCTGCAGAGGCCAAGGAAGCAAGTCACCACCTCCCACAGGAAGTAGCTAGGACTGGGGCAGCACAGGGTAGTGTTAGAGGGAGATGCTTTCTTGAGCAAGCCCCTCTCTGGGCTCATGGCCGTATCTACAGGCATCAATAATTACAGACATCCACATCCATGAAGCTGTAGCTGTAAGTTAGTGACAGAATTTTGATGGAAAATTGCAAAGGAAGAACCGGCACAGAAAACAATTGCCCTTTGGCCTTGAGATCCAGCTGGGAATAAAAAGCTGGATGAAGAATTTTAGAAGCAAATGCCTGACAAAGCAGTAAATTTTTGGAGATTTGTGTCAGTTAATGCAGTAAACATTTATTGAACAAATATTGTGTTACTAACTTTGTTAAGTGAGGGAGGCCTTGGAACCTCACCATGCTGCCATGCTGATATTATACAATTTAGTAGATTAGTTTAACTAAGCTTTGCTTGCTTTGAATAAATCATAGTCATAGCTACTTTCCTAAGGCACCTGCTATGTGAACACTTTAACTAAGAGCTGCCTTCATTTTCTTAACAGTCCTAGCATGGAACAGTTCAGTCTCCATAGCCAAGATTTGCTCTTCATCAGCTGCAACCATAAAATGACCCATAAATCATGGTTCTGAAAATGACATGTTTTGGTCTCAGGCATGAAGATATCAACCTTTTATGTGTGTATAATGGATAAAGATATGTTCTCCTAAAATAATCATCATTTTTAAAATAACCTATCTTTCCATTATAAGGTGTTCCCACATATTTTATTATTTCCATTGATAAGTCTAGCTCTTTTTATGCAAATGTCTGTTGCAAACCAAGCTATGTAAGGGTTAAGTTGTTGGCCATGAAGAGAGCCCTGGCTGTGTTGGAAAACAGTGCTCTGAGTCAGGATAACACCACAGCTGAGGACATGGACTGCTGACTCTGCCCCTTCCAGAGTAATAAAGCTGCCAGCCTTAGAGACCGGACAGGTCTCGAAAGTGGCCAAATCTGATCCTTGCAGAATTCTCTGTACTCACGTCCCAAGTTCCTGCTCAGTGCCCAGATTTGCCTTACTGTCCCTTCCTTTGTTTGAATGCTAAATAAACATTAGCTGTCCAGTGAAGTTCCTGACTTTTTAACCAGAGTTTTGACCTTCTTGAAGCCCCCTACCCAAAACATACTACTTGTCTCTCTGCATTTAAGCCATTTACCATACACTTGTTTTGGGAGATTGGAGTTACACCAAGTTCCCAGTAAATATCTGTGAGAATTTTCATAATAAATTGAAGAAATACTATGTTATAAATATTGTTGTAAATAATGAAGACATTACTATTTTTATGTTTTCTATTTTTCAGAAAAAGTCATGCTTATTTATGATATTTAATTAAACACTTTGACTTAGGTTTGTTTGCTGAGTAAATAATACTTGAACCTATTTTCTGAAGGTGTCAGCAATGTAACAAACTTTATACAAGAGCTCCTTCCATTCTGTGAACACCTCTAGAAAGGAAGAGCTCAATTTTCACACTGAAGGTTTATAGGTGTCTCACCTCTCACATCCCTGAAGTGATCAATAGTAGCAGATCTTAGAAGTGCTTGGGGAGGATCTCCCCCACGGGAAGAGACAACCTGAAGCTTTTTATTTCTCTTTATTTACTTACTTACTTACTTATTTTTGGTGCCAGGGATTGAACTCATGACCTTGTGATTGCCAGGCAGGCACTTGTGCCGTTCAGCTCAATCCCTGGCCTCCTTCTGATTCTCTTTAATGTATTGAATTCACCCCTTCACTACATTATGTTTATACCTGCTTTATTTACAACCATTGATCTGCTTCTTTAATTCTGTGCCCACCTCAGAACACAGTTTCATGGTCATTTTTATTTCCTATGGTAACTCACTCTTCTTCATAGATATTTTTCATAATTCTTGCACTTTTATTTTCCAGTCCAAATGTTAAAAAGCTTGTTCCACTTTCCTTATATCCAATATGCATTAAACACATATGACAGATGAAAAAATAGTTTTCAAATGCTTCACAACAAGACTGTGGGCATTACATTTTACATATTATATATATGAAATGTTAACTTGTTATTTTTATTCAACAAAATTATTATTTTCCTCAATTGATAAAATTTTTTAGTTCATTTATATTTTGAGGTTTCTTACCTTTATCATCAACTAAATTTCTCTCAGTTTATTCAGACATATTTATTCAGGTGCATACATTTTGCAATTTTGGAGGAGGGTCTTAAAGACTTAATTTTTTTAGCAGTTTCAGGCTGCAGCACACTTGAAAGGATAGTACTGAGATTTTTCACATGAACCTCAAAAAACTAATCCTGTAGCCTTCACTTTTAACCAAATTCTCAGCTGGAGTGGTCTGCCTGCTGCAATGGTGACCCTGCTCTCACATGTTAAGGTCGTTAGGTCTGAGAAGAAGGGAGAGGAGGAGGGGAGGGAGAGGAAGAAGTCCGAGGTCCGAGGAAGAGGTCCGTGGAAGGAGTGGAGTGGACGGCCGTGAAAGTAGTGGGCAGCAGTGGCTTTATTTCGGGAATGCGGGGAGAGCCCCCCCCCCCCCCCCCCCCCCCGCCGCCGGCCCCGGAGCGCAGCATCTTCTACTGCACCAGGGGGCCGTGGTTATCCCGGGGAGAGGAGACTGGCGTACTGGCCACTGGAATCTGGCGATCTCTCTTTCTGGCGATCTCTCTCTGACACGTGGCGTGGGGGAATCTAAATAGCCTAAGCTTAGGGCAGTGCCCTAAGGCGATTAGAGATGTATAGGTATTTCATTGGCACACAGGTTCTTAGGGATGGGGATATAGGGTTACAGCCAAGTCTATAGGGGGTGGGGGGGGGGAGGCAGGAGTTTTCTAACTTGGCTGCAGCTTTTCCTGGTTACAGTGTCCGGTCTGCGCCAGCAACTCTTTCAACGGTCACTTAAAGTGTAAGACCGGTCGTGAAGGAGACTCCAAGGGCCTCGCTCTCATGTAAGAACAAAGGGGTTTTTATTATTCCGTGTACATGGGGTCTTCCAAACAGGTGGAAACGGAGAACCCTGAGTTGGGGCAAGGCTGGTGTTTTTAAGGGGAAAAACTGCAATGTAAGCGTTTATTACAGAAGCCAATCATTACAGTTAGTGAGGAGCGGTGGGCATCTTATCTATCTGCTATTGGTCAGTTCATAAGGGGTGACCAGCGGGTCAAAGTTAATTAACCGTCTTCATTCTGCACAACTTATCTTTAAGACACCTCTTTTCTGTAGGCTCAAGTCTGACATATTTTACAACCCCGATTAGCGTAATGGCAGGCTCTATCTCTGAGTTCCCTGGCACAGCACATCCCTAGAACATCACAGCCACAGGTATTTGTTTTTTTGTTTGTTTTCTTCTTTCAGGGCTGAGTTAGGACTGAGTCACGAGGCCCAGTGCTGTTTCTAGCTGAGAAACAGCATTTTGTTTTTAACCTTTAAATTTCTGTTTCTTCAAAAGTCCATTGTTCCTCTTAGATGTCCTTTTTACAATTTCATATAACATATGTTTTGACATAAATAAATGACCCAGTAGAATGTCACACAGAGTATTTTTACTCTCTCACCATCCTCTGTGCTCTATCTACTCATCTCATTCTCATCCCAAAGCATTCACAGTGGCATCTACACAAATGTTATGGCAGTTATCTCACTCTTCCCTTTTCCTTAGCTAAGGAGACACACAAAACTCAACATTATAACCTCTATACCTTCATCAATTCTTTTTTAAAATCTTATTTTATCTTATATGAGGATAATAAACAAGCTTTCTTTTGATTTTGACTGGAATATCTTCGTTCATTCTTTCATTTTCTGTATTGCTTTACATTCAATTATAAATACACGGCAACTCCCCATTTGAAAAGTATGATAACCTTTTCGTTGGAGTTCTATTTTACTGAGAAAATGTGAGGAATGAGGTGAAAATTTTCACAAGATTCAACTTTAAGAACTTTCCAGTATCTGAGCTGAAATATCCCACTTCTTCTATTAGTGTAATCTGTTTCTATGATCAAGGATCTGCTTACCTTCAACACATACTTATGTCTGAGCAATATAAGCCCTTTAAAAATTGTTCAGTTTGTAATTAATGACAAAGTACCACTATCTCCATGGGAACAAAATTTCCCATTCATTCAGGAAGGATTTATTATGTGCCTACCTCTGAATGAATCATATCCTAGAAACCTGTGATAACTCGGACTCCGGTATAAAATCCAAGGAAGCAAGAAATTGAAATTTGAGAAGCAAAGGCTTTATTAGGTAAAATCCAGGCCTGGTGATGAGTCTCTGGGAGCCAATTTGGAGACTGCACACCTCACAGCTAAAAGTCAGGACTTTTTATCTTGTAAATCTACAAACAGCTGCTGGTCACACAATGTAAGGAGGGGATGGGGGTGTGACGCACTACAAAGCAGAAATGGCAATTGCAAGTCTCCCTGCATACTAGCATGTTTAGATAAGAAAAAATCTTGTTTTTCTTAGCAAAGAATAGAGAAGTCTAACAGCAATTAACAACCTTAGTTACCTTACTTTAGCACCACAACTGTTCTATTTGTAGAGGGCAACAATGGTTAACATATCAATTAGGTAAGATTTTACAATTCTTTACAGAGGACAGCATTGATTAACATATCAATCCTTTGCCCAGAGGGAAAGGAAAACACACATTTACAGTAAGGCCAAGTTACAGGTATTACTATGATACAAAGAAAGCTATTTTTGTGAAGAATGTACAATCTCATACAATGATATGTTAGAACAGAACTGAGAGAACTTCCTATCCTAAAACAACAAACATTTTAGTTGAAGTTTAAACTAGTCTCAGTTGTAGGTCTTTTACATGAATTGTCAGTTGTAAACAGTTCAAAATTCAGCAAAACATGGTAGCTCAACTATGGTCTCCACAATCTGGGAAGCTGAGGCACAAGAATCAGGAGTTGAGATCAGGCTGGAGTTTAGCAAGACCCATTCTCTAACTAACAAAAAATAATTACTGGTTTCACACAAACCATATCCATTATAGAAGAGAAAGCTAAAACTTAAAAGCCCCCTTCATATCATATGTAGCTGGAATTCACTTGAGATCTTCAAATATATGACTGAATTAAACCTATTGTGCTTCTCAAGACATGTAGGAGCTTGTATTGTAT